GGGTGCCCCCCAGTCCCCCAGCCCCAGTGCAGGGCTGTGGGGAGCGAGCAGAAGCATCACTGCTGCCTCGGCCCCCCCAGCATCCATCAGCCGCAAGATTCATGGGCTGTTCCGAGGCTTCATTATCTCTCTCTCCAGAGCTAATTAACTCCCTTGCCATTGGGGCCAGGGCTAATTAAGCGAGCTCCTGGCGGTGCGAGGAGGAGGAGGGAAGGAGCCCGATGCTTCCCTGCCAGTGCTGCTCCTCATCCCTGTCCCGCTCCTGTCCCCTCCATCCCATGCGCCCTCCCCACGGGTGGCATCCCCTCGGGGAGGGCAGGTGGGTAGGGGGGTGCCGGTGCGGGTGTGCGTGCGCCTGTTGGAGGACTAAGGGATTTTGGAGCCAACTAGCCAAGAGAAAGGAGACAGGAGGGCTACGAAGCAGGGACAGTGTCCCGGGGATCGTCGGGAGGTGACTGAGAAGCAGCAGCCCTGAGCAAGCACGGGTGCTGCCGGGGCACCCAGGGGTGCGTGGGCAGGGGCCTGCGCCCCCCGGGCTGCGTCCCCAAGGTGGCAGCGGGCCAGCGGGGATCGATGCCTACAGGGTGAGCCCTAATGAAAGGGGCTGCATCCCCGCTGTTGTCTGTCAGGGCACTTTCAGCACTGGCATTTGTCAGCGGGATGGAAGATTAGCGGAGCTGAAAAGTGGACTGGGGACAGGAGGCATCAGGGACCCCATGGCGCGGGGCAGGGAAACTCCAGTGATACCGTCACCCCCATCAGACATGGGGTACAGGCAATGGGGCACCTCGTCCCCATGCCCTAACATCTGCTGCACCCCAGCAGTGGCAAACTGGGATGTACGGGGACTATTTCTGCATTTGCGCACCAAGGGTCCACAAAGACCCCCCACCTCCCCACCAAGCCAAGGGCCCTGCGGATAAAATGGGGCCATTAATCAATCAAGGAGCGAATTGCAGTGCCACAAGGGCCGCATCACCTCCCTGGGCTTTTGTGCCGCTCGCCCTGGCTGGGGCCGGGGCCATCACTCTGCGGGGACGCAGACAGGTCCCTTTGTCAGCGGGACGGGCACCGGCCGCCCACCCCGCGCGGCCCCGAGATTAATGGCGAGCCGCTTTCATTAGCCGCCACCG